TGCCAAGGGCTAGAGGGAGGGAGGAACGGGGAGTGACTGCTAATGAGCACAGGGTGTCTTTCTGGGGTGATGAAAATGTTCTGAAATTAGATAGTGGTGATGGTTGCACAACTCTATGAAACATACTAAAACCCACTGATTTACACAGTTTAAAAGGATGAACTTTATTGTGTCCAAGGTACGTCTCAGAAAAGCTGTTATACATAAAGAATAAAGAAAAATAACAACCACCACCAAAAAAACCCCAATCACTCTCCATTCAGTTATGTTGAAGCCCAAACTCCCAGTCAGGCCTCGAGGCCCTAGGCCTCCTTTCCGGTCTCCTCTTCTCCCATCCCCTCCTCACTCACAGTGCTCCAGAGACACCTGCCCCCTCACCTCTCCACTATGGAAAGCTCACTCCTACACTTAGGGTCTTTCCACATGCTGTTCCCTCTGCCCCCACATCTGCACACGCCCAGCTCCCAGCTTCAGAGCTCAGCTTAATCATCATCTCTGGGCAGCCTTCTCCGACTCCACAATCTAAGGCAGTCTCCCAGTCACGCTCCCTCACCACGCTATCACACAGGCTCCACAGGACTCACACAGGAGACGAGGCATCAGGCATCTGGTATACAAGGTTCTCTTGATTATCCTTCCCTTGTTCAGAGCATGTCTCCCCTCCTGCCATAAGAGGCTATCAAAACATCTGTTGAACCGAACCGACACTAATGAATTTACTATTCATATGGTGAGATTCTATAGCTGAGGTTATGACTCAGATCATCTGATGATGGACGCCATGTTAGAAAAGGACGGGGAGCTGCCAGCAGCTGCGGAAAAGCTTCATAGAAGCGATGAGACCGAAAACAGACTGAGAGATTAACAGAAGTGTGAAAGGCTAACGGAGGAAAGCTACATCTGAACTGCGCCCTCCCCACCGTGTCCACGACCTCAACACAACACCCACACCCACACACACCCCACCAGGACACATGGGAACTAACGCGGAACCTAGAACTTGAACCCTGGACTGGATGCATCCTAGGGTACCCCTGCCTGCCTCCTCGTACCTAACTCTGGTACAGAAACATCTGTCAAATGACTAAGGAAATAACAAGTTCAAGCATCATTCCAGAACTCTTACCTTACGATGAAAAGCAATTTTTACCTCCTCACAATTACATATGTTTCTATTTTAGAACTTTTTTGGTCTTTTTTTTTTCTTTTTGCGAGGGAGGAGGAAGTCGGTGTTTCTTTTTTTAAAATGTTTTAGAGACAGAACAACAACAAACTACATAGCTCTAGCTCACCCTTCAAGAACCTGCTGGATCTCAGTGTGCTTGTGGAGAACTAAGCTGCGATGTCTGCCGGCCGTCCCCTGTCCCAGTGCCGCATTTAAAAGACATGAGGTGGACATGTCACAGGTACAGGAGTTCCTGGATGGCAGCTTCACACAACGGGAAGTTTGAACCAGGTCTGGAGCCTCAAGTTGGAAGGCAAGCTTCTCTGTTTAACTAGCTGTTTGACCCAAGGCAAGTGACTTGATCTCTACGAGGCCATTTCTTTATTTGTAAAATGATGAACTAACAACTGCTCTGTAGACCTGTGTGTGGACCGGAGGATAATGTGCATCCCTTGGCCAGTGCAGGGCCTGGCACACACCTGACCCTCTGCAAATGTTAGTTCTAAGGACCACGTCCCACGAATGACAAAGAACCAGGGCCACAGGCGGCTGGTCAACAAGAAAGTGGTGAAGAACAGAAAACAGTTGATTTCTAGCCTCTTGGGAATTTGATGAGCAGGAGTGACTTTGCACTATTCCAATCGATCAGTCTCCGGCTAACTCAGGGATGCTGGCTGCCGGATCTGTTGTTTAACTAGTACAAGAAGTCTTGGGACTTGGAGGTGAGACTGTTAAAATATAACAGCGGCTGTCTATCTGGACTTCACGGGGCTGTACAAAGGAGCCCTTTGGTACCAGGTCTCAAAGGCCAACCTCAGAACTAAACACCAAGCAGGGGGGCGACAGGCACAGAGTGAAGCCACAGCCCCTACTACCTGCTCAGGCTTCCAAAACAAATCTCTTTTGCTTACAGCAAAACACATGGTGGAGATATCAGATCCACCGTGGAAGCACGCTGTCTAAAACTTTACAAGAAAAGTGTAATTTCCAACTACTTAAATCTTTTCACAACATGGATGGCACAGACTGTTAAAGAGCAGACTAGCACAATATAACACCATTTAGCAATTTACTCGGTAAATTTTAAAGGAAACAGGGAATTTGATATGCCTTTCATAATGGACGGATTTATAGCTAATAGCCTGGGTCCAATTTACTAGTTTCATGATCAGTTGCCATCACTTTGAGTTCCAGGGAGTTTGAAGCAGAAGTTTCAAAGTTTCCTAAACTGTGATGCCACTACATTTGTGTGTATCTTAAAGGTAAGCACGGGTAGTAGGAGCTGGAAAAGGGAATCTGGGGCAGGTGCAATAACCCTTTCCTTTGACAGAACAATTAAGAGATGAATGAGGATTACGATGACAAGGTGTGATCAAGCCACAAAAGCAGTGATCTCTTGTGGACCGCAAACAAGTTCTAGAAGAGGAGTTCAAGGTGCGTTGTGGCAATGACCGCCCCATCTCCTCACCTGGAAGCTGGACTTACTTGTCAAAACACAGCTTGGGGATCATCTCCTCTACAAAGCTTTCCCTAACACCCCTCCTCCTGAATGCTGGGCGGGCCCCCTCTTCGCTGTGTCCCCCAGGATCTACCATGCACATCTGGCAGCCTCCTACTTTGTACTTGTTTGCTTACCTGCCTCTCCCAGTAAACAGTTTGCTTACTTCCCTCTCCCAGTAAACAGCAGCTCCTTCAGGGAACAGAGCTTGTCTCACCTCTTCGGATCCCACAAGCCAACAGTGCCAGGCACGCAGTCATTTGTTGAAAGACACATTTACCAGGACATTCAGTGGAGCATGCGTGTTTACCAAAGGACTGTAAATAACCTAAATTCCCATCAACAGAGGACTAGTTAAATCAGCGGTTCTCAAAGTGTGGTCCAAGGACACCTGAAGGTCAATGACTCTTTCAGGGGTCTGTGAATTTCCCCATTTCTCTAGCTACATATCTATGTGAAGTCAGATATTTTTCCAATACTTTAACCAAAACAACACGGCACACAGACTAAATGAAGAACCAGATATGAGGATCTAGCTTTCTTTTATTAAGCCAGACCTCAAAGAGATTTGCAAATATGCAAAAACACTACTCTTCTCATTGGATTTTGGTTTGGAAAATAGTTATTCTTCATAGAAAAACATCATGTTAGCATGTAACAAGTTTATTCTTGTAATTTTTAATGAATTAATAGATGTCTTTTAAATTTCTCAGATTTAATTTCTAACATGGTTAGTATCTATAGGTATAACCCATAGAAACAAAGGCTCTTTGGAGTTCTCGATGAGTTTGAAATGTGTTAAGAAGTCCTGAGACCAAAACATTTGCGAATGGCCGGTTAGAAAATATGGTCCAGCTCTACGATAAAAGAGCATGCAGCCATTTTTTACAGGAATGAGGAAGAATGACACATGCTAGTAGAAACCAATGTTTAAGCCACTCTAAGTTTAAAAAAAGGAACGCAAAACGAAGTATAAATGTGTACACTTTTTTAAAACAAGAGGCACTGCTATATATACATACACAATATATATGTATGCTCAAATTCTTTGGATGAACATCCAAGAAAATTAAAAAGCAGGTACCCGAATGGAGTCTAACTGAGGAGCCAGGGGTCAGGGAGGGGAGACCTCCCACTCCACTCCCAGTGACTTCTTGGAAAACGTTACCATCTTCATGTATGACCTTTCCAAAAAAGTCAAAAAGGGAGGAAAAATTATATTGAAATAGTACAAGGGCACTAAACTCAAAGAACCAATGGGAATGACATTGGAAAATATTGAATGATACACTGTGAAACAAAGAAGGAATTTTCAAGACAGTAATACACAGCATATTCTTGAAAAAGTCTGGAAAGATATACAGTATATAAAAGTATTAACAGTGTTTTTTCCTTCCAGTTAGTGGGATTACAAGTGTTTGTTTTCTTTATCTTTCTTGGCTTTCTAAACTTTTGATAACTTACACATACTATCTCTATCATCAGAAAACAAGAGTTCAAATACATACATACAAATGTACGTGTATCTATGTCTGTACTTGAATACAATAGTAAGACCAAAAAGTACAGGAATAAAGCAGACGTAGCAGCCACTTTTACACCGAGATCGTGACTGGATGTTTGCAAGACAAGTTTAAAACTCCCTTCTTCTGCTAAGGTTTGAAAACTATTCTGGTTGGGTCATTTTATTCCTAGTAAGCTATCCCAAAGAAAGTCTATTTATCCAATGATTTACATACAGTGACATTCAGAAGAGCATTATTAAACAGCAAATAGCCCAAACGTCCCACACCATTTGGTCAGACACACTCTAGTTCAACTCTCAGACGTCCAGGCTGAAATCCCAGGACTCGCTGTCGATCACCTCCTCTCCGTCACCCACAACCGACTCCTTCTGTGCAGTTGGCGCTGCCTTCATGCATATCCTAAAGCCCTTCACCCCCTCCTCCTTTGCCACTACCACCCAGTGCAAGTGACAGCCTACTCTTCTCATCCGCACTGGTCTCCCTGGTACCACTCACTCACCTGGACTCACTTCACACAGCATCCCAAAGGTCGACTTTTAGAAAATAAATCCATTCATGTCACTGTCCTATTTAAAACCCTTCAATAGGTTTCCAGTGCCCTTAGAATAGAATCCAATCTTTTCTAGGACCTGCTCATCTCTCTCTCCTGACCTCTGTCCACATGCCCCTTGCTCCCTGAACATACGGCCTTTCTTTCTGTTCCTCAAATGAGCCATGCTGGTTCTCACCTTAGGGCCTTTGCCCTTGCCATCCCTCCTCCCTGGAACACTCTGCTCCTAGAGCAGGATGTGTTCATTCCGTGGTTACTCACCTCCCAGAGAGGCAGCCCTCATCACACAGCCTAGGAGAGTCCACCTTAGCCTTGGTCACCCACGCATCACTGGTTGATTTCCTTCACAACATGCACCCGTATTGCAGACCATCCTGTTCATTCCATATGTGCTCAGCTTCTGTCCCCTCACCTCGCTGTGGACTCTCACCTCTAAGAACAAAGGAATATGTGAGTGGGCACTCAAAAAACATCCGGTAAATGAATGGAACACTGTATAGAAATTACAAAGGTTTTTGAAGAAGCTTTAAGAACACAGGAAAGTGCTCACAAAACAGATCTAAGTGGAAGGGGAAAGATTATCAACTAATATAATGCCAAGTTAGTTTGTTGGGGGTAGCGGGGCAAATATGCAGAGAAGAACCGAAAAATAACTTCCGTTAGACTTTTCAAGTGTCTGAATGGTATTATGGGTAATTTTTACTTGTCTCTTCAGTGTCTTCCACAGTTTCACATTTTCCAAATTTTCTATAAGGCATGACTTTGATCAGAAAAAGCAACTTTTTAAAAACTACCATACTGGAAGAATGCTCAGATTCGGCTGAGCGTGTGGCTAAGGCAGACTTACTGTCATGGGACAGCTCATTCAAGTCATAAATAACTCTTCAAATACGCGCACAAACCCTCAGACAAAGAAATCAGAAAAATAAAAGAGATGTGGGTGGACCTTCAGACTGGAGAGATGCCTCAAAACTGGTCAGATCCTTGACCTGCGCTCCATGCCAAATCTCACCAGGCTAGGAAAAAAAAAAAGGAATACAGCATATTCTAGAAATCCTGTAATAAGCCAAGACCCTATACGGTCTACAAAAAGGTTAACATTTAAAGTTGCTTTAGTTACACTGCTGACCTCTGTCTCTCAAGCCTAACAGAACCTCTGCATCTTCCAATTCTCAGAAGCGCCCCCCCTTACATAAGAAAAGACACATTTATCCTTAATGAGTACCAAAAAACGCCGAGCCCTCTGAACTAGGTCATCTTTTCAGAGAAGAGAGGCTCAGCCCAGTCTAATTTGAAATGCTAGTCCCATTGGCAAACCCCAGAAAGAGCTGCAGTTAATATTAATTAAGAGCAGAAACAGGTTTGTTCTTGAACATCTTTTCTCTCAGTCAAGTCCGAGTTGCTTCCATAGGAAACTGTGCCAATTTTCCTGCACACGAGATAATAGACCCAGCACAGAATAATGTGATTTTTTTAAATACCACTATTTGTCCAACCTTCAAGAAAGGATTCTCACATCCCTCAAGGGAGGTTTCAGTCATCCATCACTCAACAGAAGAAACTATCACCAAATATAAAAAGGTTTAGGGGACAGCCCGGTGGCGTAGAGGTTAAGTTTGCACGCTCCACTTTGGCAGCCCAGGGTTTGCAGGTTCAGATCCCAAGGGCAGACCCACACGCTGCTCATCAAGCCATGCTGTGGTGGCATCCCACATACAAAATGGAGGAAGATCGGCATAGGTGTTAGCTCAGGGACAATCTTCCTCAAGCAAAAAGAGGGAGATTGGCAACAGATGTTAACTCAGGGCCAATCTTCCTCACTGAAAAAGGAAAAAAAAAGGTTTAATGGAACTTACTACTGAGTGCCAGCCATGTGTGTGTGTTTGTGTGTGTGCATGCGCTCATACATCTGTATACACATGCACACACACACAGAAAAGTTAATATTCCTTATGACAGAGTGTAGGGCCCAGCTCCTGGCAACCTAAGAGAACTCTCCCTTCTATTTACTCATGCAAATTGCTAAAGAAAACATGAGCCAAAGATTTGGGGGTGCGTCTTCAAACAAGGTATTTGATAAGTCTCGGCCTGCACCGCTCCAGGCTGACTAGGCAGAGCCAATGGGTGACAGCCATCACGCGGCTAATCTCAGACCCAAAGTAAGTACAAACTTTGACGGTAAATCAGGGCTAATTAAGCAGGATGGACTTGATGGCTGCAAGACTGTTTGACTCCTTCTGGGGAAGATGAAGATAGAGTTCATGACCCACACCTTCAAAACAGACTTGCTGAAGTCCTTAGATGCATTAAGTACTTTGCCAGTCCCAGTCCTCTAAGTCTCAGTGGCAACTGGAACATCGTGAAGGTAGAAGGGACAACAAGGGGCATGAGATTATCTGAAATACTGCTCTAGCCCCCAGCACCTAGAACACTGACTGACACATGGCAGGTACTCAGGAAATATCTATTAGATGAATCTGACTGACATTTGCTGCGCTGCCTTACAACCATACGTGACAGCAGCTACGGAATCAACAAGCTATGTGCAGAGGAAGGAGACGAATTCTGCCAGGGCAGGGGAGGGAAGAGTTCCAGAAGCAATGAATAGCCCTACTCTGCAGGAGCAGCTTCTCACCAGGCAGTGGCTGCAGGAAAGCCATGTGGACAGGGGTAGGCCGGCAATCAGGCTGCAGCAGATGGTTGAGCTACTCTCCAATTCAAACTCCTACCAAGGTTTTAACGCCTGGGGTTTTGCCATGCCTCATGCTCTCCTTCAAACCTTCAACTATAAAGGGTACATACAGAGGGGCTGTTATGCTTCTCTACCGGGAAATTAGCTAAAAGCAAACAGCAGGTAACAGAAAAATAAATACTGTGAAATGTGTTATTTACCAGGCAGCGAGCCTGTAAGACTCTTAGACCTTCTGAGAGAGAAAAATAATCCGAGAGCACCTACGTCCACGAGAAAGAAGCCACTCTCAAAACAAATTGCTGTCCTTTATTTTTCTTCTTTCCCCAACAAACAGTTTTTAAATTGGTTTATGCAAAAGCTACTTGATTCCCAACAGAATAAAGAAAAAGAGAATATAAACATTTCATAGTCACTTCTTAGTCCAGGGAGAAACAGTAGGGGGAAATGAAGCCATTTGGAAGAGAACAGAAACTAAAATTCAGAACAAAAGAAAGTTAAAATGAAAAAAAATGAGAATAAGGGAAAACAGCAAGTGGAAACTTTTCAAAACCTCTAAGAAATAAGCCACTTCCCATGACACTCTCTTTAAAAATGGAGAGAGCCACTAATGCAGTCCCCTGATGGACGTTTTGAAGTTGCTCCCACCAGGCCTAGGGAAGGCTAAGAAACCGGCTCAACCCCACCCTGGCGGGCCCTGCCATCACTATGCCTTCTCCCTATCACCGAGAAGCCCACCCAATCACAAAGTCGGTTGGCTGAGAGCCAGCCTGCCCTCTCATACAGCTCCCTCCCCAAGCTGCATTCCAAACACAGGAAGAAGAAAATGCATTTGAATGTGGTATTAAAATTAAAACAAACCCAACTGAGCTAACAACACCCGCATGAGAAAATTCCAGGTGCAAGAGAAAATTCGAGGTGCAATCTGGTACACAAAACTCTTCCTTCTGAGAACTAGGGGTGGGGGGAGATATTCTTGAAAATCAAAGTAAAATCTTTTGCAACCGGCTTAAGAGATAATGAATAAAACTCTGCCTTTGAGATACTTCTTAATTCCTAGCTTTTAAGCTTTCTGTTTTCCAGCACAGTGCTCCACCCACTTCTTGAAACTCATCTTTGCTTCTGTAACGAAGATCCCTCCATAGCCACCCTATAATGGCAATGAGCCCCGCGGACACCGATGAGAACAGAGGCGATAGCAGAGCCCCTCATTCGCAAGACCAGGTTTTCACAAACGAGTCGCTAATGATGAGCATCTGCATCCCAGAAGGGCTGTGGACCCCGCAGCAGCACCACAGCTCCCTCTCGCCTTTTAACGCCAATTCATTACGAACTGGTGTGAATGCGGGGTGGGAGGGGAGGGGAGAAGGGCCGGACCGCAAGACTAAGAGATCGGCGACCTGTATCCCCAAATTCACCACGCAAGCCAAAGGAGGCATTCTCAAGAAGCCATTTCCAGGGAAGCCGGATTCAAAACGTAATTCGTCAGATCGAGGCTCCCACTGGTCTCCTAACAGCCAGGCCCCGGCTTGGGGAGGAGGGGGAGTCTGGGGTGACTTTACCTTAGAAGGCGGCAGCGAACAGACAGGCCTTTCAAAGCTACCCACGGCTCAGCCCAGAGGCCCGAGGCGGCGCGGAGGGGCTGGAAGGGCGCGCGGCGAGTCCCGCGGCGCCACAGGTGCCCCCGGCGCAGCCCGGCCCGACTCCCACAGGTGGGCGGCGCTGGGCCGGGGCTCCGGGAGAGGAGGGGGCGCCGCGGCTCACCAGGGACGAGGGGAGCAGGGGACGGCTTCGCCTTAAGGAAGCGGGGCGAGAGGGGTGCTCGGGTCGGCAGCCGCCTGGCGCTCAGCTCGGTGCACAGCGGCTCTTCCCCGAGGCAGGAGGAGCCCGGGCGCAGAGACGAGCCGCTCGCACCTCCCAGCCTCCTCCCCGCGAGCCCTGGCCTCCCCCCCGGGCGCGGTTAAGGCTCCCGGGCGCGGGCCACCGGCTGCATGCGCCCCGGCACGTAGGAGCCTGCGACCACACGCGGGCGGGGGAAGGGCGCCCGTGGCAGAGGAGCCCGGGCCCCTGGGGCGGATCGTCTCCCCGGCCTGACCTCATCCCACTCCGCTCGCCCCCGCCCCTCGCCCCGCACCCCCTCACCCGTGTTGGCCTTGATGTTCTCCCGCAAGAAGTGGCCGCTGGAGAGATGCTGGAGGCCAAAGTTCTGGGCGATCCTCTGGCACACGGTGCCCTTGCCCGAGCCGGGTGGCCCCAGGATGACCGCGCGCAGGAGTTTGGAAGCCATGGCCTTGGCGAGGAGGGGGCGGCCGGACAGCGGCCCCGGAGAAGCCCCGGGAACTTTCTTCCTTCTGCCCGCCGCTGACACCCTGGGCTCGCGCGGGGACTGGCCGGCCGCCCCTGCAGGGGAAGGAGAGACTTTGGAGACAACCCCTCCCCTCGGCCCCGCGCGGGGCCGGCTCGAAGGCGGAGTAAGGCGCCACGCTACACCTCCCCGCCCTCCTCGCCCCCACGCCGCGAGCGGGGAACTCCGAGCCCCCGCCCCGGCACGCTCAGCCTTCGGGGCTCAGAGGTCCGCGCGGCCGGTCCCACGCCATCCCTCCCTCCATCTCGCGCCCCACGCCGTCTCCGCCGCGCGGGGGAAACGGGGGAGGCGGCGACTGCCAGCGCGCCCGGGCGGCCGGGAGCTGAGCCCCTGCCGGGGTCCCCGCACGTGGGCAGCGTTCATTCCGCGCCTCCGCCCCTCCCCGGCGGCTGTCACATCCCCGGAGTCGCCCTGCCTGCTGCCTGCCACCCGCACAGCCGGCACGGCGCCCACCTCCGCCGAGGGTGGACGGATGCGCTCCCCGCCGCCAGGAGCCGGAGGCCCGCGCCTCTCTCCCCGAAGCGGCCAAATGGACGCCCCCTCGGCCGGCCGGGACGCGGCGCTCCCGGAGGCCTCCGGCCCGGATCCCGCTGGGCGGCGCCGCCTCCGCCCGCCCCCGCTCCGAGCCCGCCGTCCGCGCGGGCCTGGCGCCTGACGTCAGCTGGGAGAGCGGCCCCGCGCCGCCGGGCCGCGCCCCCTCCCCGGCCCGCTGCCCGCCGCCCGCCGCGCCCCCTCCCCGGCCCGCTGCGCCCGCAGCGTCCTCCCCGCCCGCGCGCTCCCCTCATCCCGCGGGGCCGCGGGGCGAAGGGAGGCGGAGAAGGCGCGAGGGACAGAAGCCAGTCTTCTGTGGTCGCCTAAGGACCCCGCCAACTGTGAGGGCAAGGAAAAATACAACTTGTTGCGCGCCTACTGTGCGTCAAGTTCGGAGCTGGGTGCTTTCCTTACGCGGCAACCCTTCGGGGTAGGGTATTCACAGATGAGAACGGAGGCTGGAATATGGCCATTCATCCGTTGATTCACGCGTTCAGCAGGTGTTTATTGAGCACCCACTGTGTGCCAGACACCGTTCTAGACGCTCGGCGTACAGCTGTGAACCAGAGAGATGGAAGCCTGCCCTCGTGGAGGTGACATTCCAGCGGGGGTTTCCAACGCTCAGCTGCCTGACTCCAAAGCGCCGTTCTGGGAAGAAGGAAGGAGGGGATGATGGCTCACCTGCGCTCAGGACCTTATAGCCAGGTGGTTCCAGGACGTCAGGGCCCAGCAAGTTGTCTCTACACCTACAACTCACCAAGTCCAAATGGGGCTGTCTCCCCCCTCCCTTCCCTGCACATCCCAATCCCTGTCCTCTTAAATCTGTTCCTTGCCTGCAGCCCTTACTCCCAACTTGGACTAGTGCAATAACCCCCAGGAGTCTCCAGTTTCTCCAGTCCCTCCTCGATGCAGCTGCCAGAGATATTGCTAAAGTGCAAGTCAATTTCTATTATTTCCCCACCTCGGGTATTATTGTCTCTTCAAGATAAAGTAAAAAATCTTCGGCAGGGCACACAGGTGCCTTCCCAACTCCTTTGCATTTCACCCGTTCCCCTCCTCTACCCCCCTTCCACAGGCCTCCTGCCTCTGGGGAAATGCACCGCTGAGATCTGAGAGTCACCACACATGGCTCACGGATGGGGAGGGACCCACACAGATCGTGGGGACAGTGTGGGGAAGAGTCTCCTCGAGATGCCTGGCTGCTCTGTCTCTGTCAGGGGGCTGGAGGGGGAGCCTAGCATAGTACCCCCAGCCCAGCCCCTCTCCCCCACTGCCTCCTCACACAGACAGTGGGATACTACCTAGTATCTGGCTACCTGGCAGCAGACCCAGGCCACCGACCCCAGGCCAGCATCTGTTCCATAGGCTCCTTCCCATGTCTAAACTATCTCAGAGTGTGCTGTAGACCTCAGGAGGTTGTTGCACTGAGCCCCTTCACCTGGAAACAAGGAGGGAGAAGAGCTTCTAATGAAAGGGGATGGTGCCACTTATATCTCCCTTTTCTTCCTGCCATATATGCTATATAACATATGCTATATAACTAGATAATATCTAGCAAATACTTTGCAGTCCTTCTCAAACCTGAGCATGCATCCAAACCACTCCAGGGGGTGATTCTGATTCTGTGGGTCTGAGGTGGGCATTCTAGCAAGTTTCCAGGTGGCATTGAGGCTGCTGATCTGGAGACGGCACTGAAAACCACTGCTCTAGTGAAATGAGCATTGAGAGGGGAGGTGTGTGGTCTCTTGATTCCTCTGCCTGCTGTGGGACCTTAGCCCTCAACCTCTTTCTTCTTTTTCTAAAATGAGGAGGTGGCTTTAGTACATCTGGAAGTTCCCTTTGTAGCTATCAGGAATGGATTCTGTAAGTTCCCACAGGAAATAGGGCTTCTAGCCCCCAAAAGTAATGCGCTATACCCTACCTGCCCTATTGCCCGGTTCTTTTGACCACTTTTGAAATGTCTTTACCAACATCACCTTACAAACTTATGAGCAGGGCTAGCCAACTCACAGGGTCTTAGAACTTCATGCCTTAGGAGCTTAGGAGCTTCGATTATGAAACAGAAAGAGGAGTTGTGACATGGGTAAACTCATTGCAGAAACCCAGCCAGGTCTGGAACGGAGAATTGCACAAAAGACCCCTCAACAGCCCTTCCCCACGTGCAGCCACCTAAGGGTGCCACAGCTCCGTGCTGACCGGAAGCAGAGGAAGTGGAAGACACAGGTTTTGGAGTCAAACGCCCCTGGGATCAAATTGCAACAGCGCCTGTTCAACTAACTCTGCAAGTCTCCTGCTCTGTGAACTTTAGTTTGCTTATCTGCGAAAGGGAGATAGCAGTTATCTCACCGGCTTGTGGTGAGGCTTCAATGAGATAATGGATATAGAGGATTCAGCACAGTGCTGGCACATAATAAGTATTGGATCATGAACATCATCGCCATGATTAACCATGGCCCAATTACTAACCATTATTTAGCCTCTCTGATCATTGGCTTCTCTGACCTCAGTTCCCAAATTGTGAGGAACAAACTCCATAAATGGTAGCTATTCTTATCACATAAACTCATGTGATCAACCTCTGCTTTGCCTAGGGTTTTAAACCCATTTATACTATTTATCGCAGTCTTCAAGATAATATACATCTAAGTGTTTGTCTCCGCTGTAGACAAAGTAAACTCTGAGGGCAGGGGCCAAACTTTATTCACCTTTCTGTCCTCAGAGACAGCCAGCACTTTGCCTGTAATAAGTACTCTGCTATCGTTGGCCAGCGCCTCCTCCTCCCGGCATACTCAACGTCATGCCGTGTTGCCTCTGCAACTTCACTCGATGGTAATAAAAAGTCCACCTTGGATCACACGTCACGCATTCCTTCATCACATTCTCACAAGCTTGCAAAGAAGGTAGAGAGTCTTGTTCCTATTGTACAGAGGGGAAAACTAAGTTTCTGAGAGGTTAGGTGAACTGCCAAATGTCACAGAGCTAGCTGGTGCGGCAGCAGGGACTCAGCCCCAGATTGTCTCACTCGGAGCACAGTGCTCCTGTTGACTACACTTTACTCATTTCCAGCCTGCTCTCACCATCTGCTGTAACCTTGTAGCACCTTGGCTCTTATCTGCTGATCATGTTTCTTTATATCGACTCAATTTGTTTAAATAATTTATTTGAAAAAGAAACTGTATATAACTCAGTAACCATAAATAAAAGGATACACTAAAATAAATGCAAGAAAAATAAAATAAGGCTACCAAATTCCAGCTGGAATCTACTGACTGTCTGCCCATTAAGTTTCTGAGCTTAATCTTTGCTAAAAAAGAAAAAGTAAGGGGTTGTTTACAAGTGTGAGAGAGGTGTGTAAGACAGATGGCATCTAAATGGGACTCTGTTTATCTGTAATCACAGAACTCAAGATAGAATTAGGAAGGGAATACTTCCTCCATAGTCAGTTTAATATTGTCTAAAGCCATGCCCATGCACCACCCAGAATCATCTCAGCACGTCAGAGGATCTCTTGGTCATCAGGGATCATGTCACATACTGTAATGTACTTCAAAGTGTACCTTTGGAATGTAATTTAATATACCTCACTGGATTTTTTTAATGATGTGATTACCCCAACCACAGTTCGCAGATAGGATACTGACCCACTTCAAAAATTAACCCCCATTCTTCCAGCCATCACCTCTCCATCACTGTCTTTCTGTCATCACTTTGGCCTTACTTCTGTTGTGTTTGATGAACAATTGGCTTCATCTTGTCCATCATGGATCCACACAGCTGGTGAAGGGTCCAGACACAGAGAGCAAATATAACTGAATGGCAGCCTCACTGCTGAATGAACAAGTGGATAAAGTTATTTCTCTCTTTGCCCTCCTTGAAGCTCTCTGGACAGAGAGGAAAAAGGCTGGTGACTGGGACATGCCAAGATTCAGGAAAGAAAGCTGGAAAATAATGGGACAAGAAGGGACAAGATATTGGTCCCAGTGTGCCAGGCTCCTTTCTCCCTGTAGGCACTCATTACACTCAAGAAGCTAAAA